GTTACAGAGCTAATCAGGAGGGCTCCTAGAGACAGGGTAGACAGAATACATGCACTTCTAGTACTTCCTGTCACCTTGAACAACACAGCTTTTCTCTAACCCACTTCATTAGAACTGTTAACAAGTGAGAGTATAGCCACTGTCTTCAGCACTGTACCTTTTAAACTGGCATTTTGTTACTAAAAACCAAACAGCTTAGAAATCTTAACATTTGATATTTTAACATTTATGTGTCAATTTGTATCTTGAGTTCCGACAAGAATCAGTGATAATCAGTGTGTATTACTTCATTGTAATTTTACGTCTATACTCAATCTAAAACTAATTTCTCAAGAAAAGGTAGTTGAACATTAACAGGTGACATATATATCCACTCATGAAACCATCGCCACAATCAAGAACACTAACATACAGTACTATACCCCAGTTTCCATGTGTCGCTTTGTCATTCTTCCTTCCGACCCCTTTCCACGCTGGATTAGTTTGCAGTTTCTAACGTGTTATACACAAGAAATCATTCAGTGTGTGTGCTCTTTTTGTTTGGCTTCTTTTATTCAGGATAATGAACCTGAAATTCATTTCTGTTGTCTCAATAGATCATTTCTTTTTATTGCAAATAAAATCTTAGCATCCTCCTTTTAAAGCTCCTTTGAAGCACATGGTTTGAAAATAATTTTCTGAAAAATATCTGAGGAAAAAATTGGCTACATGAATATTACTGCTATCTAAACTAAGTAACAGAAAATTAAATGCTGGTTGTAAAGTTAACAGCAATGTACACAAGACACTAATTATTTTGAAAGCTAGTGTACCTATTACTTGAAATGTGAAAGATCACTTCGACATTAAAAGGACCACATTCTAAATTGTTCAGTGTTTTTATTTTTCTGATAATTTAAAAAATGTGAACATTCTGTAATTCAGCCACAGTCTTTACTTCCAGGTGACTTCTTCATTGGGTCTCAATTCTCTGTGTGGAAAGAAAAGTGGAAGGAAAGGAAAAAGTGTTAAATAAAACTTTTATGAGGGATAAAAGGGAAAGTCAGAACAATATGAATTCAGTATTTTATAGTCTATAAAATTAACCCACTTAAAAGATTTTATGTTGAGTCAACATATTCTAGTCTCTCATGATTTTAAACCTTTACTATCTTTTCAATTATATTTTTCCCGATTAAAATGTCATTTCTTTTTTTTAAATGTATTTTTATTGATTTCAGAGAGGAAGGGAGAGGGAGAGATAGAAACATCAATGATAAGAAACATTGATTGGCTGCCTCCTGCACGCCCCCCACTGGGGACTGAGCCCGCAACCCAGGTATATGCCCCTGACCAGAATCGAACCTGCAACCTTTCAGTCCGCAGACCAACACTCTATCCACTAAGCCAAGCCGGCTAGGGCATAAACTGTAATTTCTTAGTCTGTCTTCATATAAAAGCTCAATGAGTTCATTGTTTCTAGACCTTTTCCAGCTCATTTTATCTTTCTTGAAATCCTTGACTGTGAACCTCCTCTGCAGTGAATGCGACTGCTGCTCAGTTCTCGCCCCCTGTGCCTCTTCTGACTCAGCTGCACATACAGGGGCAGACTCCCTATCTTGTCATCTCAAACTCCCTGCTGCCAGGGGAGCCATTTCCAGACACAATGGAACCAGGCGGCTACTAGCTGCCATCTAGTCACCCAACCGCCATGTCTAAAGCTCTCAGGCTGTGCTGCTGAGAACACATCACCAAGCCACAGTCAGCACCATTTATTTCAGCTACACCCTGACTCAAGTAAGGTGGTATGTCATCATACATGTGAAAGCTGTATATAAAGTAGGCTTTGGGGGGCTGGTTCAATTTCAAGCAGTGTTTCCATATTAAAAAGTACCCCAAATTCCAAAAAAGGGGGATTTTAAAAAAATCTGAAATAGTCTGTTCATAAGCTGAAGACTTGTTTACACTCCAAATGTAATCATACAGTTTTATGCAATCATTAAACAACAAACAAGGCTACAAAATAATATCACTTAGGTCTAAGTCCTTGGGGGACAGGGATTACCCCTTCTGTTTATTTTTGTTGTATATGATATTAAGAATACTTCCAAAAGCTGGCTAATTGTTGGTTTAAACATGCCCAAACTCACCTTTTAAATAACAAACTCTTGTTCCGGAAGGCAGTTAACTTTTCATCACTCTTTCTGTCTAGATAACATCCAATGACAAATCCCATAGGGACAAGTACATGTACCCAGTGGTCACGCACAAGCTGAATTAAACTCATCCTGAATGCTAAAAAGAATAAAATAAATAAAAAATTCAGAAATATAACTGACTTCGAAATATCTTTTAAATTGCATCTGAAACAGGAGATAGTCCTGAATATAGGGATATTAAAAGCATAAGCCTCTTGCCCTAGTCGGTGTGGCTTAGTGGATAGACAATAGAGTGTCAGCCTGTGGGCTGAGGGTTCCTGCTTGATTCCGGTAAAGGGCATGTACCTTGGTTGAAGGCTCCTCCCTGGCCCGGGCCCTGGTTGGGCTCATGCAGGAGGCAACCAATCGATGTGTTTCTCTCACATAGATGTTTCTCTCTGTCTTTCCCTCTCTCTAAGAATCAATGGAAAAATATCCTCTGGTGAGAATTAAAAAAAAAAAAGCATAAGCCTCTTTAAAATTGTTTGGCATCAGAATGTGGTATACTACTTAAAATCTACTTGATAAAGATTATATAGATGACAATGATTAGCATAGAAATTGTAATGCACTAAAGTCAATTTATTAACTTTTCCCCTATTTTCATTGGTGATCTGATGATATAATGCAGTGAAATGGAGAGTATAAATGCTACCTGCAAAAGCTCGGCCAGTGTTGCTCAGTGATTGACCATCAACCTATAAACCAGGAGTCACTGTTCGCTTCCCGGTCAGGGAACATACCGTCAGCATAACTATTATATACTGTTTGTATTTCACCACCAACAAAAAAGTACTTGGGGACGCTCAGCCCATGACCACCTGTGGGCTATCAGCCACTTACTATTGGCATTCTTCCAACGTGGCCAGAAGCTCCTTTTGTCTGGCTCTACTCTGAGCAGATGTGACCATACAAGCCCTGAGGTTCTTGCTGAATAAAGGTCTTATGAGAGTCCAGTGAAAGACAGTGGACTGATAGATAAAAGAATTCTGTACGCCCTAACTGGTTTGGCTCAGTGGATAGAGCGTCGGCCTGCGGACTCAAGGGTCCCAGGTTCGATTCCGGGCAAGGGCATGTACCTTGGTTGCAAGCACATCCCCAGTGGAGGGTGTGCAGGAGGCAGCTGATCGATGTTTCTCTCTCATCGATGTTTCTAACTCTCTATCTCTCTCCCTTCCTCTCTGTAAAAAAATCAATAAAATATATTTAAAAAAAAAGAATTCTGTACATTTAAAATCCAGAGTTGGATTCAACCACCTCGAAGGAAACCATCCCCAAGAAACGGCAAATCTTAGTCCCAGAGGTATTTCATATTACAATCGTAAAATCTACAATTTAATAGGCTTTGGGAGCAGTGGCACTGAACATATTTTTCCTGTGTATTTCGCTGCGAGTGGGTGACCAGGGAAGACAAAGATTTATGGACATAACACTGAGCTAGGATGATTTCTTGGAGAATGGACAGGAGAGGGAGCATGGACAGGCTTTTCAGCTCTTGGTCACGGGCCCAAGGCCATACGGGATGGGTAAAGGCGAGGGAGGGCCTGCGACAGGCTCCGATGAGATAAGCCTGGGTTTGGATGAAGAGGGATATCGCCTGGGTGCCCATGAGGGCACTGTACACACGGGAGTGGGAAAAAGTAAGTTTACAGTTGTGAGTGCAAAACAAAATTTGTTCTTGCATTATTATTTTTTAAATTACTGCATTATTTTCAGTAATATACTAGTATACTGAAATATACTGCATTATGAACAACTGTAAGCCTACTTTTGCACACCCTGTATTAGTGTCTTCTTTATACAAAAACTTTTAAGAAAAATTTTGCTCTTGCTTCTGAACTGGGAGTAGCTGTGGTATCCCTGGGAAAAACAACAACAAACAAAACGAGTTGGTTTTTATCTTATGGACTCAATCATATAACAGATCAGGCTGTTTTGCCTCCCTCTAGAACAGCGGTTCTCAACCTGTGGGCTACGACACCTTTGGGGGTCAAACGACCCTTTCACAGGGGTCTAAGACCATCGGAAAACACATATATAATTACATATTGTTTTTGTAATTAATCACTATGCTTTATGTTCAATTTGTAACAATGAAAATACATCCTGCATATCAGATATTTACATTACGACTCATAACAGTAGCAAAATTACAGTTATGAAATACCAACAAAAATAATTTTATGGTTGGGGGGTCACCACAACATAACTGTATTAAAGGGTCGCGGCATTAGGAAGGTTGAGAACCACTGCTCTAGAAAGAGCTGACTTAGCAGTCTCTGTAAGGTACTATTCTTTAAAAAAATATTTTTATTGATTTCAGAGAGGAAGGGAAAGGAAGAGCAAGAAACATCAATGATGAATGGGAATCACTGATCCACCGCCTCCTGTACACCCCCTACTGGGGACCCAGCCCGCAAACCTGGCACGTGCCCTTAACCAGAATCGAACCTGGGACCCTTGAGTCTGCAGGTCCACACTCCATCCACTGAGCCAAACCAGCCAGGGCTGTAAGGCACTGTTCATTTAAAAAAAATTATTAAGTTATTACATATATAATATTACATATTACCCACATTATCCCCCCACCCCCCGCAAGGCACTGTTCTTAATGCTTTTCCTAATCACAACTCAAGTAATCCTCACAGCACAAGTTTTCATTAATAAAGGCCCCCAGTGCAGTTGACATATTTTTTTTCAGATGAGGAAATCCAGGGTTAATTGATTTGTCAGAGGTCACAGATGCAGCAAGTGGCAGAGCTGGGATTAATGGGCAGCCTGCCTCCTGGAGCCAAGCTCTTTATTTGTGCTTCCTGTCTATTACAGGAAGCACAGAGGTAAACATTCATATAATTCTTCACTTCCTCTTATGTTCCCTAACTACATATTATTTTTTCTTCGACCCAATTTTTCCCGCTTACCTTCTAAAAAGAAAACTATCTGGTGTGAATTTTTGCATGTCACTCCGAATTCACGTTGGAAAAATAAAAATGGACACACACACACACATAAATATATATATATTTCTACTTTCTAACTGTTCCCCACAGCATTTTATATGTATTGATCAAAAAGTGTCAACTAAGCTGACGATAAAGAGCGCTGGATGCAAGGAGATTCTGAGCTCCTTGAAGTCACCTGTCTTAATGACACATACGCCCAAGAAGCTCAGCACGGAGTAAATATTCCATTTTTAAAAAGTGCACATGGTCGGCTCCAGAGGGTTTGAGATTTACAGGAGAGAGCGAGCGGGGTTAGCTTCCCATGGCGAGTGACGAGGAAGGCAGACCCGGGACCGGGGGCGCATGAGGCTCCCTCCAGGCTGCAGCCCAGCATCCCCTCCCCGCCGCTTTCCTCTCGGGGCGGCCGGGCGGACCCCGCGTGATCAACAACACGTGCCCAGGGATGACAGCCTCCGAGTCCCCTTCCCAGCAGCCGCGAGACGGCGTGGGCCCAGCACCTCCCTTTCCCATCGCGCCTCCTCTGATCTGAAGCCCGGGGAGGCCGGGTCGCTCCAGCCTCCGGGAGTCCCGGGGAGCCCCAGACTACGACCCCCTCGGCCCCCCACTCCATCGCCGAGGGCTTTCCCAGGGGCGCACCCTGACTGTCTGCACAACCGAAACCCGCGGCGTCGACCCCGGACCTACCTGCGGCCTCGGTGCCAGCCCGACCCCAAG